GTGTTAGGAGGGAACATATAAGGCACCGAAAATAGGAGGAGACACTTGGCGCCACATGATAGGTCACATGTTGGCGCCAAGATTTGAATTCAAATTCAAATTTGAATTCAAACCTTGTGTCACATGTGCATAACCGGTCATGTGGAGCTAAATGCACATTAGATTGAATTTAGTATGTATTTAGGGTTGCATTTCGGTGTCACACTTGTGTAGCCAAGGTGGTGCCAAAAGTGTGACCTAAATGCAACTTAAATACATCCTAAATTTAACCTAATTTTGTCCTAATTCAAATGAACTACTAATCCTCCTTTAACCCTAAACTAATGACCAAAATACAATGGTCTAATGAATACAATGAATAGGAAAAATTACAAGGAGAAGAATGAGCCCAATATTGGGTATCAAAAGCCCAAAGCCCAAGAAGCCCAAAATTAAGCCCAAGACACTTAAACCCTAATCTATGGTCAAAATACAAGACCAACATCAAAGTGAATTCCTATACTAAGAAAATACAATTAAACATGGTGTTTATTCAAGTAATGTCCATGTGAGAAGCACCCTAGGCCCACCAAGCCCGTTGGACCCACTAAGCTCTGAAGCAAACAAGTCTTCCTGTAATCTCCTGGCCATAGCTCTAGTGGTTGGGCCTTTAGCCCATGCTCTTCCATCAATACACACAACAATTCCTCTCGTTTTTGCACCAAAAAGGTGATAAGTAGTCTCCTTGATCAAATAAAAAGTGACAATTTGGTAACACGCATTTAATGCACTAATAGACATATTATTCTACAAGGAAGGAAGACTAAGAAGGACAAATTGTTGGAGGAGCATGGACCAAAGGTCCAACCACTAGAGCTATGGCAAGGAGGCTACTTGAAGATTTGATTGCTTCAGAGCTTAGTGGGCCCAATGGGCTTGGTGGGCCTAGGGTACTCTTCACATGGGCTTTGCATGGATAACCACCTTTTATTGTATTCTTAGTAGTGTAGGATTTTATATTGTTTGGTTTTGTATTATGGGCCACTAGTATAGGTATTTTGGGCTTTAGGCTTATTGGGCCTAGTTTTGGGCTCCATGGGCTTTTGGTACCCAATATTGGGCTCATTTTAATTCTTGTAATTTTTCCTATGGAATATATTTGGTTGGCCATTGTATTTAGGCCATTAGATTAGGTTTATAGAAGGAATACAATAATAGGACCAATAGGCTATTCTAAGTTTAATCTGGGAGACATTTGACTTGAATTTGGATCACATGGTTTAAGCATAGGTGGTGCTGGACATGTGCACACCAAATTCAGCTCAAATAAGCTCTAAATTCAACTTAGATGAAAGCTAGATGCATAACTCACGAATTAGCACATGGTTTCTCAAAATTTGAATTTCAAATACCATTTGAAATTCAAATTTTGGCGCCTAGAAGCTAGCTTGAGTTGGCGCCACTAGCTAGTCTCATCCGGTTCTATATATTGCATCCTTCACTCAGTGTGTAGAAACTTTGATCATTATAGAGAATTTTTTTGAAAATTTCTTCAACTTTCTCTCCTTTCAAAGTCACTTGGCCGAATAGTTCTTAGAACTCTTTGAGGAACTAGGTCTACTTTTGTGAGTAATCATTTACTCACTTGGCCTTGGTGCTTTCGGATCCTCTCTTCATTCATCTTCATCCTTCATCTCTGTAGTTGGATCTTCATCCAATCTCCTCAAGGAAGTGATCAAAAGGTCTTGAAATTCAAAGAGTGAAGAACATCAATCCTCTTCACTTGGAATTGCCATCACAAATCAAGTCAACAAGTGAAATACAAAGATTTATAAAGAAGTTTAAAGAATTCAAAAAGAAGAGGGAAAATTTTCAATTATTATTCATTCTTTTCCTTTCATATAATCTTTTTTTACTTAAAAGTTGTATCATGTCTTGTGAGAAAGAAAAATTAATTGTTATCTTTACCCAACTTTAACTGTGTTTTAGCTTGAAGTTGGGAGGGGCTTTGTTGTTCAAGGAATACTTAAGTAGTTTGCTTGAAAAGGTAAGTCAAAAAAATATTTAAGTTGAGTCAGAAGTGACTTGTGAAATAATACTTGTGTCTTTGTAAAAGATACTGAAACATGATCAAGTTAATCAGGAATCGGTTCAAGTCTTGGTGGTTGAGATTAACTAGTATAAAAAAAAAACTTGTGTTCTTTGTTTTTGACTTCATTTGCATTCCTTAAGACTTATGTTACTACTTCATTGTTTCATAAAGTGATGAGTTTTTTTATTGAACTATTCAACCCCTACTAGTATCTTTCTTTTATCCACAATTAAGCTTGATCCCAAAATAAAAGAAGGCTACTTACACATGCTCATGGTAGTTATGCCAAGAAAAAAAGATGATAATGCATAAAAAAGGAACAAACCTAAGAGCTAAAAGAGAAAAAAGTCAGAATTCTCAAGTCCAGGATGTAGAAAATAGAGCAAAAGATAATCCTCTCTCTCTCTCAACTCTAATGGTTGTTTAAATCCTACAAACATTATTTCTAAAATAAGAATAAAAAACAAATAAAATAAAATCTTAAAATTCTAAAATGAGAACAAGAGCATTCGCACAAGCATGCAATGTAGTGGCACAACCGTGCTAGTTGTGCTAGGCTTCATCCACTCCTTAGCAAGAATTACACATACATGTAATTGAGTTCTATGCATGTGCTAGTAGAGATTGACCTAAAATCTTCTATTTTTTTATCCTCTATAGTCTGCTGTGGTCATGCATGCTCTAATGGTCTATCATTTGTCTAGAGCCCTCTTTTAACATCCAAGTTCAACCACTTTAGGTGATGGTAGAGGCCTAGCTAGGGCACCTGCCACTAGGGCCATGACTAGGAGGATATAGAAAGATTGGGCCAGTGATGAGGATGGTGGGCCCAAGCTTCTTGAGTTGGGCTATCTCCTAGATGTAGTGTAGGATTTGTGGCCTATTTATGCATATATTTCATTAGGCCTTGTATTTTCGGCCAATTAGAGTAGGATTTTATTTGGGTCATGTATTTAGGCCAAGTAGATAGGAAGGAGTCTAATTAGTGTCGCAACTCGAAAAATTTTTGATCTTGCGACATATGGTTTAGACATCCTTTTAAAAGTCTCATCAATTAAGGAATGCCCGGACATCAGACTAATCCTTAATTAATGGTTTTGAAAATAAGTTCATGGAGTCGCCACCAATATTTTACTCAAAACATTGGAAAAAGCAAAGGTTTTTAAAGATCCAATAATGGCCTTGATAACCAGAATTGGGTTCGGGGGTCGGTTACGTGTAGGGAAGGTATTAAGCACCCCTACAACGCCCTCAATCGGTACCCTATGATGAAGTTAACGTGATAAGAAATAATAAATTAAATATTAGATCCCCTTTATTAATAATTATTTACATACTTGAAATTTAAATAATACAGTTAACCCTAAAATGTCTACATGATTATTTTTATTATAACGATAATTATTATAGATAAGAAATAAAAATAAAGAGAAAGAAATTAACTGAAATACCTCTTGAATGAGCTCTATTGGATCTTCAAAATAGGGAGATTTTAGGTGCTTTGTGGCAACCTTTCGCACTACAATTGCCTCACAATACTCAAGAAATACAATAGGAGAGAGAGAGAGAAAAAGAGATAAATTTTGAGCTCTAAGGAGTGCTGGACGAAATTTTTGGGGTCCCTAGAACTGTGGCCGAGATTTCTATTTATAGGCATCAGACGTGGGCCGGAACGGCCCATTCTGGATTCGGAATGGCCGTTCTAGATTCGAACGTTATGTATTATATTTTCACCCTAGAACGGCCCATTCTGAAATCAGAATGGCCCGTTCCGGGAACCAAAATGGCCCGTTCTGATTTTAGAACAGCCCATTCCAGGGTAAAAATTTTAGCCCTTTTGATTGTTATGGAACGACCGTTCTGATCTGGAACGGCCCGTTCCAACCTACAATTTTAGGCCTTCTTAGGAGTCTCGGAACGGCCCGTTCCAATTCAAGAACAACCCGTTCTGAACCGTTCTAAATTTGGAACAGCCCGTTCTAGGCCCCTAAAAATAGTTGAATTGGGTTTTTGTGCCCTCTAATGTCCTATCTTGTTGTTTGTATGCCCCCGGA